AGCATAAGGATTCCTAACTTTCCTGAGTGAGCATTATACAAAGTTTGGGTAACACCATATATGTTAAAAGCTTGGTCATTGCTTTGCACTGTGGCCTTGGGCTAGTTACTTAACCGCTCTGAGCTTCAGATTTTTCTACCTGCCTAATGGAGCTAATAATACCTATTTCATATTTAGCCCATAGGGGATTTTGGTGAGTATCAAATGGATTTTGTCAATGCTTTTTTTTTTTTTTGGCATCTATGAGGTGCTTTCTGTGCTTTATTCTATCGATAAGGTATATTACATTAATTCATCTTCATATGTTGAACCAACCTTACATTCCTGGCATAAGTCCCATTTGGTCGTGATGTACAATCCTTTTTATATGTTGCTGAATTCACTTTGCTAGTACCTTGTTGAGGACTTCTGAATACATATTCATAAGAAATATTTTGTAATATTCTTTTCTTGTGATACCTTTTTTTTTTGTATCAGGACAATACTGGCCTCATACAATGATTTGGGAATTGTTCCCTCCTCTTCTGTTTTTGTTTTTTTTTTGAAGAGTTTATGAAACATTGTTAATTTGTCTTTAAACATTTGGTAAAATACACCAGTGAAGCTCTCTGGTCCTGGACTTTTCTTTGTGGGAATTTTTTTACTAAGTTAATTATTAAGTCATTCTCTTTACTTGATATAGATCTGTTTAAATGTTCTATTTCTTCTTGAGTCAGTCTTGGTCATTTATGTCTTCGTAGAAGTTCTCATTTAATCTGTATTATCTAATTTGTAGGCATATAATTTTTTCACAGTATTCTCTTATACCACTTTTTATTTCTGTAAGACGGTTAGTAATGTCTTCTGTTTCATTCTTGATTTTAGTAACTTGAATCTTCTCTCTTTATCTTAAATGGTCTAGATAAATATTTGTCAATTTTATTAATGTTTTCAAAGAACCAAGTTTTGTTTTTTTTAATTTTCCTTATTTTTCTAGTCCCTACTTCATTTATTTCCACTCTAATTATGTAATCTCTCTCCTTCTGCTTTGGGTTTATTTTGTTCTTCTCTTTTTAATTTCTTCAGGTGGAAAGTTAGGCTATTGATTTGAGACTTTCTCTTTTAATGTAGGCATTTGCAGATATAAGTTTCCCGGTAAGCACTGCTTTAGCTGCATCCTATAAATTTTCATATATTGTGATTTTGTTTTCATTAATCTCAAAGTGTTGTTAAATTTCCCTTGTGATTTGTTTTTGATGCATTGGTTATTTAGAAATGTGTTACTTAATTTCCACAAATTTCTGAGTTTCCAAATTTTCCTTCTGTTATTGATTTCTAATTTCATTGTATTGTGGTCAGAGAACATACTTTGTATGACTTTCTTTTAAATTTATTGAGATTTGTTTTATTGCCTAAAATATGGGGTATGCTGGGGAGTGTTCTATTTGCACTTGAAAATTATGTGTATTCTGCTGTTTGGTGGAGTGGTCTATAGATGTGTGTTTTGTCTAGTTGGTTTATAGTGTTGTTCAAATCTTCTGTTTCCTTGTTGACCTTCTATCTAGTTGTTCCACCATTATTGAAAGTGGAATACTGAAGTGTCCAACTATTATTGTTGAATTGTCTATTTCTTCCTTTCATTCTGTCAGTTTTTTCAAGTATTTTGGGGCTTTGTTGGTAAGCGGATAAAATATGTTTATAGTTGTTATATCATCTTAGTGGATTGACCTTTTTATCACTATAAAATGTCTTTCTTTGCCTCTAATAACACTTTTGGTCTTAAAGTCTATTTTGCCTGATGTTAGTATAGCTATTCCGTCTCTCTTTTGGTGACTGTTTTCATGGTATATCATTTTCCATCCTTTTGCTTCCAACCTACTTGTGTCTTTGAATCTGAAGTGTGTCTCTAGTGGACATCACATAGTTGGATCATGTTGTTTTGTCTATAATGCCAATCTCTGCTTTTGGTTGGAGTGTTTGGTCTATTTATATTTTAGTCCATTTATGTTTACCTGTGTTGTAACATTACAAATGTTCTTTGTTTCTTCATGTGGATTCAGTTACTGTCCTTTCATTCATCCTGAAGGACTCCCTTTAGTGTTTCTTGTAGGGTAGGTCTGCTAGTGACACATTCTCTCAGTTTTTGTTTAACTGGAAATGTCTTCATTTCCCCTTCATTTCTGAAGGATAGCTTTGCTGAATATAGAATTCTTGGTTGATAATCTTTCTTTCAGTGCTTTGACTATGTCATTCCACTCCCTTTGACCTCCGTGTTTTCTGATGAGAAATCAGTTTCTAATCTGAGGGGCTCTTATACATGATACATTACTTTTTTTCTTGCCGTTTTCAAGATTCTCTGTCGTTGGCTTTCAACAGTCTGGGTATGGATCCCTTTGAGTTTATCCTATTTGTACTTCATCAGACTTCTCGGATGTGTAGATTCATGTTTTTCATCAAATTTAGGAAGTTTTTGACAACTATTTCTTCAAATATTCTTTTTGTCCCCTTTTCCCCCTCCTCCTTTCTGGGTCTCCCATTATACTCCTCAGACTGGATAATCTCAATTCATCTATCTTCAAATTTGCTGATTCTTTTTTCGGCCTGCTCAAAATTTTGTTGAGCCCCTCTAGTAAATTTTTTAATTTCCATTTTTATACTTTTCAACTTCAGAATTTCTATTTGGTTTTTCTTTCTGTCTCTTTTCATACTTTCCATCACTTTACTGATATTCTCTATTTGGTGAGACATCATTCTCACACTTGTCTTTAGTTCCTTGGACATGGTTTCCTTTAGTTCTTTGAACATATTTAAAACAGTTGATATAAAGTCTTGGGTAGGGACTTCCCTGCTGGTCCATAGTTGAGACTCCGTGCTTCCACTGCAGGGGGTGCAGGTTTGATCCCTGGTCGGGGAACTAAGATTCCACATGCCATGCAGAAAGTCTTGGTTAGGTAGATCCAATGTCTGGGCTTCCTCAGTGACAGTTTCTATGGACTGACATTTTTCTTCTATGTAGGAGCCTTTTTCTGTGTATGTTTTATACTTTTTAATTGAAACTGGACATTTAAAATAATATAGCAACTGTGGAAATTAGATTCTCCCTCCTCCTCAGGGTTTGTTATTGTTTTTATGTTGTTGTTTGTTCCTTTAGTGACTCTACTGAACTAATTCTGTAAAGTCTGTATCCTTTGTCATATGTGGGCCCTGAAGCATCTGCTTGGCTAGCTTAGTGGGACGCTAATGATTGAACAGAAGTGTTCTAACTGCCTGGAACCAATAAGTCCCCCAGTCTTTGCCGATGGGCTCTGTGTGTGTGTTGGGGCATGTGTTCAACTCTACTTTAACCTTCACTTCCTGCTTACACAGAGCCTCAAGGTTAGCCCAAGGATGAGTATCAAGTGGAATGACAGTTTTGAAAAACACAAATGAGAGCTATTATTGCAGTCTGTTATCTTTTATTATTCTCAGACCAGGTCATTTGCTCTTTGTAAGCACGGGCATTTTCTGACTTATAAACACATAACTTATATGTAAACACCGAACTTATATGCCTTAGACCTCACAACCACTGCCAGGGGCCTATGTTGAAAAAACAAAGAGAAAAATAGAAAGAGCTGTGAGCTTTTAGAGAATCTGTGGTTTCGTAAGGGAAAAAAAAAAAAAAAAGCTTCCAAAAAAGCAGAGATAGAAGGAAAAAAAAAAAAAAAAAGCTTCCAAAAAAGCAGAGATAGACTTGGGTGGTGTTTCTTAGCTGCCTGCATCAGCATTACTTGGGATGTTTTGTTAAAAGTCAGGTTCCTGGCCCCATCCCAAATCTTTTGAGTCAGAATATATTGGGTTGGATCCAGGAGTCTACATTTTAAACTAGCTCCCCAGGTGATTCTTATGCATACTGATGATTGAGAAACAAGGGAGGTGATCCTGTAGGTACCTTCACATCAGGGACTAAGTGGCTCATGATGTTAACTGTGCTCAAATACTAATCTCTCCTTTCAATGCCTGATTTTTTAAAAATTTCACTTTTTAAATTACATTTACTCAAATTCCACCAATTAGAGATTTATTTGCATCTATGAGAATATTTTTTAACAGCTGCCGGAGTTAAAAGATTAACATTTACTCACAGCTCTTTTAAAATTAATCTAATCAGATTGCATTTATCCAAACAGCTGGCCAAGGTGATTTACAAGGAAAGAAGGAAGTTTTGTTTCCTTTTAATTTGACAGGAAGATAGATACTTTCATGGGATTCAGAAGACTTTAGGGGGAAAATAGGCCTGTGTTAATTTATGTAATAAACGCATGGATTGAGAGGGAAGGTAGGAGAAGATACTAGATAAAGCAGTGGGTACTTGCCTGTTTCAAAATACTGTGCATACAACCAGCAAAGGGAGGAAAAAATTTCTTTCTCCTTTCTACTTTGAATGTTACCCGTTGTCTTAGAACCTAGAATTCAGATCAGTAAAATGTATGTTAAGGAATTATATCAGTTGCTGTAGGGCTACTTAGGCTCTCATGGGCTGTCTAGAGACCTAATCACTATTTAAACCACCACGTAGAAGGCTCTTTATTGAAAAATGTCTTCCGGTTTCCAAATAACACACTTCCTGATATACTTTTTGATTCAGCCCATTTGAGAGTTTGAGGTTGGATCAAATTTGGATGCGTGAAATTTATCTGTGTTCAAATTCCAAGCTGATTTCTCCCAATCATCTGTGTACTTTTAGGCCATTTCTCCTTGAGGAGTTTTGTGTTTAGTTCATACAAATTCAACATTGAAAAAATAATTAGGGGAGTTTAGATTCTTATCAAATTTAATACATTCAAAAATGAAACATGATTTTAAAAATTATTTCACGTTTGGAGTCTTTACTACTCTGACTTGTCTCTATTAATGAGACTAATCAAGAGATTCCTGTCCCCTGCCCCTTCAACCCAGTTTAGGATGCATTATCCTGCCTTCAGTTTCCAGAATTCTATTACAAATGCACAGACTAGTAAATCACATTTCTTATTTCCTTCAAGGTATTGCACAGCGATGTACAGCTATCAAGTACCACTTTTCTCAGCCGATACGCTTACGAAACATTCCTTTCAATTTGACCAAGACAATCCAGCAAGATGAATGGCACCTGCTTCGTGAGTATTTCTGGGAAAGGGTCAGAGAGGGTCAGAGAGGAAATGGTGTCTTTCTGAACAAAAAGCATTCCCACCAGCCCTTTCAGATATGGACTGAAAGATGCTGTGCCGATCCTACGTGGGCCTCTGGGCCCCATCTGACTTGATCAGAGACTCAGAGAGTCATTTCACTGTGCCATGGTCACAACTTGTTTGCAGATCAGATGTGTGAGAGTCAGGCGTGGGGCTTCGTGAGACAGTGCAGTGAGTGTGTCTGTCCTTGTGGCATCGGTATACAAGCCACCTCCTGAGTGCATTCTTTACCAAGCCATGTGGTACCAGGCCCTGATCTGGCGCTTGTCTTAGTAAACCAAGGAGACTATACCTTAGGTGTGTTATTTTAGTTTTCTTTCTCCAATATTCATTTTAGTTACTGTGTCTGTCTCAGACCTTGGTGTTTCTGCTAAAATATCTTTATGAGTGTATGTTGTAATTTTCTCAGAAGGTGTCTGTTATCTCCACATCCTGATGGCAGGAACTATCTTTTTTACTGTCAGGAAAATGTGAAACTGTAGAAAGGATTGTGCAGTGTGACACCAAAGAGGACTGATATTTACCTGAAAACTGTCGATTCATGTTGCCTAGGGAGAGATAATTCAGGAAAGCAAAAAACTAGGCCTAATCCTTTTTAGTGTTTACCCTAATCAGAGGTTGACATTGTCATTTCCAGTGCAATCAACACAAGGACTTCAGTGATCTTGTTTGGTGACCAAAGTCACTACAGGAAGCCAAGTAGAGTTTCATTTTGTAAAGTCAAGTCTCTCTACAGATCAAAGGGCTCTATTTTGAATCTCAAAAATGTAAATGGAAGCTCTTAAGATATTGCCCACAGCAGTGGTATACTGTTATAAATATTATGATTGGCAAATTTAGGACTTGGAAAGTCATTGGCTAAAATGTGGTTTATTTCTGAGTAGTATCACTTCCTGAAAATTATTTCTTGCTGGTCATTTCTCAGCAGATCTTAGTTAGAGCCTTATCTAAGTGTTCTTACATCTTAATTCTTTATGAGCATGTTTGGAGTTCTTTGCCTTAATCATCTATGCAGAAAGCCACATAGTCACTGGTTTTAGGCAAGAAAAGATCATCACAGGGTCCTGAAAAAGAACCTTATCTCTTTACTCTAAGAGTTTGTACCCTGTTACTGCCCAGCAAGACAGTACTGAGCATTCTCCTCTTAATCCTCTCTGAGGTTCTCATGGAAAGATGCTTTCAGCAGTCTCAGGCATGGCTTTTTCCAAGAAAGTCACACTCGGTGATCTGGACCATGTTTACCAGATAAGCTTAGCATATCCCGTACTAAGGCAAATCCCATGTGGATTATATCTGAACCTTGTGCCTTTTAATGGCCATAGAAATAAAACTCGAACCACAGGGAGTTCAGGAGGTTGTGAGAGAATGGTGACTGAGCTATGATTACACTGGATGTCTCAAAACGACTTACACCTTAATGTTAAACAGCCCCTTTAAATGATCAGTGCCCGTGACCCCTAGGTCTGTGGTGGTCTACACTGCCTCTTCTAGGCTGCAATGCCCTGCTTCAGTTTAGGTGCTCTGAGCTAGAAATGAAAAATCCCTTTAAAAGAAAGGGATGGACCACGTGTGACAAGGGCAAGACTGAAAGCTACCGTGATCCACCCTGTATACATCATCCTGAGTTGCCAGAGGCCACAGGAACACACAGTGAGGTGGTGGCTGCCTGGGCACCTTCGCAGAGCAGCCCACACTCACACAGCGGGGTGTGCCTCTGGTCTTGGTTCCATGTGTGTGCAGGAGTGCACGGTCCACCTTGCCTAGACCTGTTCACTGGCTTTAGCGGCAGACTTACGTTTGGGATCTGTTGCTCTAAGAAGGATCCGAGAAATTTAGCTCACGATTTTTAAAATTAGCTTCATTCAAAAAAAAAAGAAAAAAAAAAAGAAAAAGAGGGAGGGAAATAGAAAGAAAAAGCAAAATAGCAGGAGGGTGGGCAACTGGAGTGGAAGTGTACCCATATATCCAGCCAGTCCATCTCTTGGTTTGGCCTAGAAGGTGGGCCAGGGCCTGGGTTCCTGGCCCAGTGATCACAGTCGTGTTTTTGTGATAGACCAGACTTCTTGTGTGTTCAGTGGGGCTTGGCCCACGGGAACAGCCTTTTCTTAACCTGGGTACTTGGGAGCTTGGGCTGTAGGGCCTATGTTTAAGGGAAGAGGGCCTTAATGAGTAGATGTCCTATATGTGCACGCTGGGCCCTATTTCAGTTACGGTTGCCTTCACTTTCTCAAATCCTTTTTGAAAATAGGCAGGAGGAAGTATAACTTAAAAATAAAGTAATTGGCATCCTTGGTGCACAGGTAAAACCATATTTCACTATGTCTCAGTTTTTAGGCTCTTTCCCCAAAGTCAGATTAATTACAGCCACTACAGTGGTGGTGACCTATGATTCTGTTGCTCTTTGGAGGATAATAAAGATCTTTTGCAAACCTTCCTCACTCTCAGTTTACTAAGTAACTTGTTACCTCTTACCCTTGTTTACCCTGGTGTCCGCTGGTCTAGTTTCTACTTGACACGGACTTCTCCATGGACTCAGGGAGGGGAGATGCTGACCCCTCAACTTGTTACACCCCATCTGTCCTCTTATGAAATACCTAGGGAGTTTATTTCCTAAATCACCGTGGCCCTGAAGACCCTACCCCTGTCCATGTAACGTATTAGTTTTCACAATGTATACAAAGCTCTTCATTCTCGAATTTTCAATAACTCTCTTTCTTTTGCTTATTATTTTGAATGTTTGTGTTTTGAGATTAGATTTAAGAAGAATCACTGCTGGCTTCCTGGGCATGGCTGTGGCCGTCCTGCTCTGTGGCTGCATTGTGGCCATGGTCAGCTTCTTCTGGGAGGAAAGCCTGACCCAGCATGTGGCCGGACTCCTCTTTCTCATGACAGGTACGCGGAACACCTCGGACACCTCTCCCAGCAAAAGCAAAGGCCTCTCTGCGGCCAGCTAGCTTCACCTTGTTATCTCTCCATTAATTTTGTTTTCACTTGTGAGAAAAGCAACCAGAAGGTCATTTGGCTTTGGTGGGCAATACAGAATTTAAAGAAGACAACAGTGTTAAAAATGCAGGCCTGATTTCCCCACTGTGGCCCGTTACAAGGTTAGATGGAAATGTCTTGGGTTTAATCTCCATATGAGGCGGGTCTGATTTTTCTGTCCCATTCTTTCCTATTGTGCCCTTAACCCTGGCGTGGACTCTTGGCAAACATGGGCCATTGCTTCTCAGGAGCCCTCCAGGAGGGGGTGATAGCTCAGCACAGCCCATGCCTCTGGGCTGAAGGTCAACTCAAAGTCTATTTCTTAGTGATGGAGTCATTGGTGTCATTTTTGCACACAAAACATTCATTCATTTCACTCCACAGATACTTTGTGAGGACTTACTATGGACCAGGCACTTCTCTACATACTAAAGACACATAATGATTAAGGCAGACAAAATCTTTCTCCCTTTCTGTTGTGGGGAGACACAAATAATAATTTGTGATAGCGATAAAAGCTGCGAGGAAGGTAAACGAGGTGGCGTAGGGGACCCTCTTCCACATAGGGAGTGCGCTGCGGGCAGAGGAAGGAACGGTGCCAAGGCCTAAGGCAGGGATGACCTGACGTCTGTGTTTCGAGCCACAGAGAGACCAGTGTGGCCGAGGACAGGGAGGGAGGGGACATCATCCCATGAGGTAGAGAAGCAGGCAGGGGCTTGGATTTTAATCTAAGGGTGGTGGAAGCCACCAGAAGGTTTTACGCCGAGGAGTGACTTGCTGTTAAATCAGGAGATTGGAAGGGGGTGTGTGGAGACACAACTGTGGTCTTTTCGATTGTCGGGTGAAGAACATTTTTGTCCAAGAAGGAGTCAGCAGCTGAGTTGATGGCTGAAACTGACTGAAGGTGGCTGCGGGGAAGAAATCTTTTCTCCTGCTTTTTCCCAGAAAATTGTGTCTGTGATTAGTGAATGCCAAGTTAACAGTTTCACAAAGTACGCTGAGCATCAGGGGTAATAGTACTCTAGATGTGTAGCCGTTTTGAATAAGCTTATTCCTGCTTCTCTGGAGTTCTGTTACTCAAGCGACCACGACTTGGGTTTCTAGCACTGCTTGCTGTCATGGTCACTCACTCAAGCCCGTGTTCCCTGGAGGCTGCAGCACCCCTTGGTGACTGGCACCATTTTCTCTGTCTTTCAGGGCTGACAGGTAGGTGGTGCTTTGCCTTCTGATTGCTCAACCAGTCAGCTCCTGTAACCCAGTTCACAGACAGACGTCCTTCCTTCTTTCTAAGTCCTGTCGGCCCCTTTCCGACCCCATGAGATGGCGCTGTGACCAGCAGTGACCTGGAATAACGGATGATCATTGTAAGCATCCCGACAGAGCATTAAAAAAAAAAAAAAAATGTCACCTGGCCTTTGAATAATTCTTAGCAGAAAAACAACTTAAGTTTTCCAGACTTGGATGAATACACAGAGGCTGCAGGACTGTAGCCCAGGGAGGCTAAAATTCTAGTTTCTGAGGTTTTGGAGGAGGATTTGAACCTTCGGGACCAGCCATTGGGAGGGTGCCTGCCTAAAGGATTCATTAAAATCCAAAGTGTAGGGACTTCCCTGGTGGTCCAGCGGTTAAGACTCCACGCTCCCAATGCAGGGGTTCCAGCTTCGATCTCTGGTCAGGGAACTAGATCCCGCATGCTGCAACTAAGAGCCTGCACGCAGCAGTGAAGACCCGGCACAGCCAAATAAATAAATGAATAAATATTTTTTAAAAAAAATCCAGGGTGTAGAATGAACAGGTGACGGTGTCAAAGAATCAGAGAGGCCTGTGCTGCCCAGGGGATTTCTTTAAGCTTAATGGTCATGAAATATCTCCCCCCATTTTCTTCCCTTCCTTTATTAGTTGGGCCCCCATTTTTCTAACTCTTGTCCTCATACACATCAAAGAAGTATTCACGACCCCCCAGCCCTGGAAAGGCCCCACATAGCATCCTCAGGAAAATGAAAGGAGCTGAGGGCCAGACAAGAGCCTCAGTAGTAGTAGTTTTTAAAGGACCCTTGTAATGTGGGTAATGCATGAATAATTTAGGATGCTCTTAGATATCAAACAATTGTTGGCATGAAAATAAATCACAGGACCATAAAAGTCAGGCTCAGTGAGCGTTTCTTGGGAGGCAGAGGGACTGGTTTGGTTTTAAATGAAAGGAGGTTGGGAGTTCAGTCTTGCATTGGCTCAGAGGAGAGCTAGGAGCTGAGAAGTTTCCTAAGCCAGCCCCACCTTCCCCTGCTCAGCCCTCATTCCTGATCCATCTGTGTAACTCTGGGCCAGACTGGCTCAGGGCTCAGCAGGATTTATCATCAAAAGCCCCTGTGCAACTGTTAAAAACAAAACAAGAAGAACAATAGCCGTAGTAGCAAAAACCCACTGCAACCCCAAAACACCCTAAACTTATAAACTTGAAGTTTGATAACCAGTCCGGAAGGGTGGGCAGACCTACCACATAACACTGGCTTTTTTTTTTTTGGCTTTTGATTGCCCAAACATTTTTTTTTTTGGAATAAAGGGAAAACCCACTTATAGATCTCACCATCTGAAAAATTAGTTGTTAATATATTTTCCTTATCCTGGACGAAATCTTGCCCAAGTCTTTGTCTCACTAAAAACCACAGCAAAAGGGAGAGAAGTGGCTATGGTTCTAAAAGGGTAGCTCAGGGCATCCTTGCGATGGAAATGGTCTGTGTCTGGACTGTGATGGTGGCCACATAATCTGCACACGTGGTGACATTCCGTGGAACTAAGTGCACACACACACAAGTGAGTGAGTGCATGTAAAAGTGGTGAAATCGGAATAAGGTGGATGGATTGTATCATCGTAAGTTTCCTGGTTGTGCTATTATACTAGAGTTGTGCAAGACGTTACTATTCGGGGAAATTGGGTGAAGGGTATACAGGATCTCACTGTGTTATCTCTTTTAACTGCATGTGAGTCTACAATTATTTCAAAATAAAAATTTAAAAGAAAAAAACAACAACTAAAAGAAAGGAAAGAAAAAATGTTTGCCACCCTCATCACATGGAAAGTATTGAATATTTTGTTTTCTGGGCTTCCATTTATCATCATACCGTAAGCATTTCCGGTGGCCTTATATTGTTCTGTGTTCGGTTTTTTAATAGCTTTTAATAGCTGCATGTTCCTCCATGGAGTAGATTTGCCACGTTGTGTTCCCTTACTGTGGGATTTAGGGAGGTTTGTTTCATTTTTGCTACTACAAATAATCCCTTTCCATTTCTGCTACTACAAATAATCCCTTTCCATTTCCTTTGTAAACACTATGTTAATCCATTGCATGAGATAAATTAGCTGTAGGACATTCCCACGTAGCAGCAGGAGATGAGAGCAAATAGGGTTAAAAGAATTGATTTTAATGAAGCAGAAGTGTCTTCAGCAGTCTTAGTCGGCATCACCCCACAGATTTTTGATGCTAAACTTAGCCTCTTCTAAGGCGCTGGCATCTTCATTCTCTACCTGAATTTATTAGCCAAACCTTCAATGAAGATCATCAGTGATGTGACAGTTGGAGATGTTAAAATGGAAACTTGGAAACAATCTCTCTCCTTAGGCCTTATTGCATACTGACAGCTCTTGATTACCCACACGTGGAGCAGCAGGGCTGCTGACTGTCACTTCCCATCCCTAATTCCCTGGGGCCTCTCAAGGGGTCCTCCAGCAGGGCCGGGGGCACAGAGCCTCAAATGTAGCCTTTTGACCTCATGTCCTCTGAAGTTACACACACACCATCACGGAGGCATATCCAGAGGACTAAGGGATTAAGACTCATGATCCAACAGTGAGGGGCTGCCTTTTACCAGACCACACTGCCTCCTGCACTGCGAGTGAGCATTTCCATCAGCTTTAAATGATACATTCTACTAGATTGTTGTTGTGCTAGTATGATGATTATCATTTGTTAGAAATATAAATATTTTAAAAGGTTAATTTATTCAATGCAAATATTTTTAAATACAATTTTTATGTCTCTTTAGTAGGGTTTTAATTACCTTTTAATATACTGGGAGTCTCAAAAATTGATTAAAGCTTGGGCCTCCCTTGAAGGGGGCCTCCATTCCCCTTCATAGGCTGTGCCCTGAGTGGCCACTGCTGACGGACGAGGCAGGGCCTTCGGGTCAGTAGAGAAAGAAGAGACAGCCCAGGCTGCCCCAGCAAAGCTCAGGGACGGGTAACACCCACGCTAGGCCACCCATTGTTTTGCTTCAATACATTCAAATTAAAACAAAGACTCCTCTGTAGGTGTATTGAATTCTCTAGGGTATCCACTGATTATGATCTAAAACTACAGGTCCTTAATGCCATATCAGAAGCCCTTGGGACCAGGTGCATTTTGGAATTCAGGATTTTGTTTTTTAAATTTATTTAGTTTATTTATTTTTGGCTGCGTTGGGTCTTTGTTGTTGAGCGCGGGGCGGGCTTTCTCTAGTTGTGGCGAGCGGGGGCTACTCTTTGTTGTGGTGTGTGGGCTTCTCATCGCGGTGGCTTCTCTTGTTGCAGAGCACGGGCCCTAGGCGCATGGGCTCAGTAGTTGTGGCTCACGGGCTCTAGAGCGCAGGCTCAGTAGTTGTGGCGCACAGGCCTAGTTGTTCCGTGGCATGTGGGATATTCCCGGACCAGGGCTTGAACCCCAGTTCCCTGCACTGGCAGGTGGACTCTTAACCACGGCACCACCAGGGAAGTCCCTGGAATTCAGGATTTTTAAGTTTTATTTTAGAAAGGTAATATAGTGCATGTATTCTATATTATCTAACACCCTGAGCAGGGTCTGAAATCAAGTATACATTAACATTTCTGCAGCCAAACACATGAATATTCACACTAGGTGGGATCAATAAGGACTATA